AAAAGCGTCAGCTAAATGCAATGTAATGTAATGTAATAAACACTTGGGGTTGGACACAGAAATGAGTGATTCCCTCTTTCAGTTCACTACAGAGTAAATACTGAGCTGTCTCGCCTTAGCAACTAATGAGATTTTCTCGCCTGCCAACAACTTATCAACATGGACTTCATCCCCAAAATGTCCCCATGTAAGAGTGAGCAGAAAGTGAGGGAGACATAAAGAGAGGGGGGGCTGTCATCCGGTGAATCCTGCCGGTTGGGTTTCTCTCTCTCTCTCGCTGGTGTCCACAGTGCAGAGCAGACACCATCTGGACAGCTGGAATGCCACAGGGCAGGGGGTGAGTGAAGGGGGTCTGCTACAGCAGGGGGATGGGTCATGGCTGGGAGATGGAGCATTAACAGTAAGGGTATTAAGCATGTAATGCCACCTAAACTCTTGTAAGTGGAAAAGACGGACATGGAGGAACACTATGGTAAGCGGTACTGAGGCGGTTAGCCTTTCCTTGAAATTGTATTATGAAATGGCGAAAAATAGATATAAATGTTGAAATCCAAGACATAAAGATGATGTATAATGCCTTTATTTATATAATATGATATCAGAAAAGGAAATATGCATGTGTTAAAAGGAATAGTTTCCGGAAATATGATTATTTGATCTTTTTTTTTCCTTTTTTTTAAATGTATGTCTTTGGAGCTACAGTACAGCCAGCCGCCAGTTAGCTTAGCTTTAGCTTAGCACAAAAGGCTGGAACCCTGAAGGTGAAATACCTCTTAAGCCCATTAATTAACCCTTTATATCTCCTTTATTAAATCCATACCAAAGTCGAAGTTTGGTTTCTGGGGATTATGTGGCGGAGTATTAAGACTTAAGTTTCCGCTCATTGAATAGCAACCGCTGAGTCACTGTTCCCAGCCGAAAGGTTTCCCAGCACATAAACCAGGACTTATTGTGCTTCACATTTGACTTTTTTAGATTAAAAAAATAATAAAAGCCATCTATTTGGTTTGAGACGCATTGTAGGAACATTTTAGTGCATTGGGACAAATCCAGGATAGCTATCTCCTTATCTTGTCTTTATGCTTAGCTAACCAGCTTCATGTTCATGATGATAAAGCACAAACATGTTCAAAACCACAATTTATGGGCAATTAAACTAAGAATAGGCAGAAAGAGTGCAGTACCATTTAAATACCCTCGGTAAACTGGTCCTTAAGGATAGATTTAAGGCAACCTTTACATCCCCTTATAGATTCAAATGTTGCTGTGTTTAACCACACTGCTCTGACTCTATCCCTACATATGGTTTACAAATATGCGTTTCTTAAGTGCATGTTTTACTAATGGATGGTTTCATGGCAACATCTGTCACTCGCATGCGCATGAAGGCTCTAAACCCTGGTTGACATGCACAGAAAAAGCTGCTCATAACCGTACTTGTTTTGACTGAGATTGAAAACACTGGTGTTTTTCGCAGAGGCTTTTTGTTTTTTAGTTGATGATGGTGTCAGAGGAAATTCTGCTCTGGCACTGAGCTAAAACAAAGTCAAAACTAGCATGGAGAGAAGCCCTGTGCTGCCCCTACACATGGAAACTGTTATGTGTGTGCGAATCGAATGAAAGTCTGAAGTACAACCATGTGTTTATGTGCCATGCAAATATTACACTGGTTAACGACGTCATTGAAGTGGACCTCGCTGTGCGGTGGCTGACCAAATACAGTTAGCGTATTGGTGACGAAGCTGGAAGCGGTCCACTCTAACTGCTAGCTAGGTTTATAAACATGTCTTAGTGGAGATTAGCCTGAGGGTAACCCCCAGTACTTTCCCTGTGGAGTTCCTATTGCTCACATTGTCACTTCCCTTCTGCTTTGTATAAATATTTGTACGGCAGAACCTTTTGGCAGTGCAGCTGACATCCAACCATTCTGAGAGCTGAGAGGATAGGTCGGAAGGGAAGGATGGGGTTGAGTGGTGGATCTCGTGTTTGACTTTGTGCAGCCAAGTTTCGCAGCTCAGCTGTATCTTGTCATTTAACTGTTAAGTAACACGTGTGGAAGAATGCTCAATATACTAATACTGTTTCTATATAACAACATAATGTGCAGAACGACTGATTAGGGGGAAATTCTTCTATACAAAAATGTAAAAAGCAATGAAAGCATGACATACCCAGTCCACAAAAGTAAATCTTTGATCATCTAATACTAAATTGAGGCACAAGTGTATATTTTGGATCTCTCTTCACTCAGCGTACCAAATAAAATCTCACACCCACACCTTCATAACTTGGCACATTCTGAGTACATCTGTTGATAGCAATGAATTGTGTGTATGTAGGAGCATGTACTATAGTTTGGGGTTTGCTATTTGGGGAATAGGTTTTGGAACCTCTGTATTAACTGATCTGAAGTTTTAGGGGGAGGAAAAGTCCCTCAGAAGAAAAAAACAACACCACTGTCATTAAAACCCCTGCATTCCTTGCTTCCTCATAATATAATTAGTTCAGGCATAGAAACATGATGTACAGTTTAAATGTGCTATTTTAAAGAATAACAAGTTGATGTTCCAGTGAAGATCAAGACAAGTCAGCCACTGCAGCAGGATCCCACATCCACACCTCAAAAGCCCTCTCGAAGGTAACAAAATCCCTGCAGAGGCAACACAAACCCACCCCCCCAGTCTGGCACGAGGCGTTCAGGTGAATGTAACCACATAACACTCACTTCTGTTCAACAACAATGGAGCGTATGTCTCTTTGTTTGGGGTCTTTACACGGTCCAAAGGAGAGGCAGGTAAAGAGCAGCAGAATGTATGTTAGCATGACAGGAGCCACACCCTGCTTGTTCTGCTCAAGATAGTACTCAGTTAATACTAACTTTTTGTTATTTCTCAACAATAGTAACACAAAGAAGTTGGGTGTGTTAATTAGTTAAAGTGTAACATGTGTCGTCTTGCTCAGTGTCTGACAAATAGAGTTGTCTTATCAAGGCATGCATCAGTCTTCTTGTTGCTCAACACCAGCTGGCTGAGGCAGGTGAACCTGTTGTAACAGAGATGCCGTACATTGAGGACAAATACATTCTAGCAAGCCCCAAATACCATAGCCCTCAGATATGAAGCTTAAAAAGAGTAACATGTACTCTTCGAATGAATGGTTGCACTTTTACACATTCAAGTTTGAAGACACACTGTTATGAAGATCAGATTACACAATTTCTCACCAAAATGATTGTTCATAAGCTTTTGAATGTGCAGCTTGTTGACAAGTGATAAGAGCCAGACCAAGTTTAAATGACTGCTGAAAGAAATACACCCTGAATAAACAAAGGCTACACCTCACATTCCAGTGTGTCCTTGGGCAAGACACTTCACCTGAACTTGCTCCTGTGGGTATTGTCCACAGTATCTGACCATTGCATGTATGATATATGTGTAATGTGTGTATATGTAAAGCGCTTTGAGTCATTGAAAAAGCGCTATAATAAATGTAAGGAATTATTATTATTATTCGCCACTATCGCAAAGGAAAATCAAATACGCCTCATCCATGTACACAGAATTAACCAAGCAGTTTGCAAGTATTTGCATAGCTGGGGAAGTTTGACACAGATAAACATGACTCTGATTCCAAACTATGTTGTGCCAACTTGTGACATTACTGTAGGCTGTATAGGAGTTGAAAAGTAAGCGTATAGAGTGACAGCCATTTGTGATCTCACACTCTTTCTTATCACTTTGTTTTCACAGGTGGTTTTGCAGAACAGCTCACTCCTCTCTGTCACTGATTTGCAAAGGGACTGAGTCGTTAGAAAATGTCTCTGGTGACCAATTTTCTAAATGAAGACAGTGGGTGAATGGATAAAACCAGCTGGCGTGGTCTTTCTGTCCATTGATATGTCACAAGCAGCGACAGAAACATTCGCAGTCGATGGAGTATTAATATATGTCGTAGGGCTGCAGCTAGGAAAAGGCACAAGCATGACAAAAAGCATGCATTTATTTTGTGACCATTGTTTTCTTAAGAGCTAGGATGATGAATAATGCTGGAAACTACCATGACACATGCAATGACAGACTTGAGACTTCGTGACAGCGTTTCCACACAAAACTACGTATTTCCTCCACCTTGAATGTAACCATTTGTAGCGAAACATATGACTCGCACTGATTAGCATTTCCTAATACACCTGTGAAATATGTTCAGAGGAAGCTTGCATTTAGTGCCTCATATAACATGCGCTGCAACAATGCAATCATAATAATGTTGCAACGTAAACTGCCAATTCATGTCGTGCATAACATACCTGCAATTCTTCATGGAGGTTAGCATACACAACATCCACGGAGATGAGACTGTTGGAGCCGTGTTAGACAGCTGTTCAAACTAAATAGCACACAGGTTTTAACAGCACGTATGTTTTGTAAAGTTCCTGACAAAGCTAACCGCAACACGTCACTAACGTTCAGCCCGAGCGAGTCCTCGACGAGAAGGAAAGACAAATAGATATATATCGACACTTTGCTTCTTCTGTTTGTTTTTTAAATAGTTCAGCTTGCTCTACCCATCCTTCACCGAAGAGATACGGCTCTGTCCTGCCCGGGCAGGGTGCAGACAGTGAGAGCAGCAGCAGCAGACAGGTCCAGTAACTTCAAACTTAAAATGACTTCTCGCTTCTGATTGGTCCAAACTCAGGGAGGTGGTGCGTTCATGAGCTTCTGGTTAATGTGGTATTCAATTTTGACTTTGTCTATACGCAGCCTAACAAAAGTTGTAAGTGAACATTCAAATGCATTCTAGAGACGTTTTCACATTCTTAAATGTTAGATAGGCTTCTTGTACTTACTTATTTAAACGTAAAGGAGCTTTTGAAAATATAATAATTTGAGTCATTTGCACGATATTCAAATGTAAATTCTGTAAATGTAAAAAGTGGCTTTATTTGATGAAATGTGAAAAAATATCCAATGTTTTACACACAAAAAAAGTAGGACAAAATATTGATTTCATTTTTTCTTCTTTATTTCCACATGAAGAATGTTTGACCCCTTAAATTTATCTTTGTACCATCTAGGGCGAAGGACAATCTGGGTGGGCAGTGGGCACTACTGATCGACAGTAACATTTTCGTTTTGCATCATCTACACGAGAGCTACATGTACAATAACACGATTCTAGTTGTGTTAGCTTGACTTGCAGGCTATTCGTAGTAGCAGGATTTATTTCAACAGCCCTTGAAAGCATCGTAAATGTAGATTTGTTAATAAACCTGTTATCTATCTTTCTATGGCTTTATTTGCTCTCTGTCTAACACACACTGGATTTATGTTTGTGATTATCAAACGCATCAATAACATGCAAAGCAGGTGATCAATCAATCAATCAATGTTTATTTATATAGCCCAATATCACAAATGTTATATTTGTCTCAGTGGACTTCACAGTTTGTACAGAATATCAGTATGACAATACGACACCTTCTGTCCTTAGACCCTCACATCGTACAAGGAAAAACTTCCGGAGAAAACCCACATCTACATTCCATCTGTTGTTGTTTATCAACACCATTAAAAAGGATCGCAATAATGTTAAGGTCGCAATGCCCCCTGCTGTTTGTATTTAGACAACGTTTGTACCTCGAGGATTTATGGCTAGTAATCAGTTCCTGCTGAATAGTAAAAATTACTCTTTCTGTAGTAACAATGATAATATTGTTACTAGAGAAATACGCTAAAATGGGTTCAGTCAGAAATAAGCATGATACTCTGAAATTATGTGAATAGATCAGCTTTCTTCTTCTTCTCCATGTAAAGTTACACAAAGACAGAGTGACAAGCTGACTTGGAAGAGACAGATGTTATATTTGTAAGAGCATTAAATACTAAAGCATCTTGTCTTGGTAGCTTTTTTATAATGCGTGTAAGGGTTACACTTTTAAAAACATGCTTTCTGATTTTTCAAAAGCATGCATATTGATTTTTGTTTCACATGATGTTTAATGTGGCTTAAGATGATTGCGTTGACGTCTGGCAGTTTGTAATCTTATATGTGCATTACGTGAGAATGATAAATGACCTTGTTCTTTAATCAAATCAGTGTATTGGTAGCTTTGATATTAGGTGGCATGCACGCAGAAGTTCCTGTCACAATAACACTGAACCCAGTAAATTGCTGACATCCGGGTGATGAAAACAAATGGAATTATTTTAATTTTATTGACTGTGTTTCAGTTTTACAGTTTCTCTGTTAACATTTTAAACGTCATCAATGCTGGGCATGCAGTTTGATTCCCAATTTCCTGCAAATCACTGTGTTCCATTCATCTTCTTCACTCTGTCTCCTTTTAGTGGCAGGTTAGTTGGGCAACACCAAGCCCACCTGAAAAACATACAGGCATTACTTTTACCATTATGAGTTACTGATGACTGGCAGCTATTACAACATACAACATATATACAACAATTATCCTGCACTAAACTTACAGTAGTGTTTGTGTTTGCACTAGTTATTTTAGGTTACTGATTTTTAAGCTGTAGTAAAATCATTTCTACCAGTCTTACTTTATGGTATTGAAAGAAAGTGTACAATATCACAAATCAAGATTATAAACAGTTGATCAAACCTTATCCTGCTTGAATCAGGCCCTTACTTGGATCCAACACTTCAGTAATGGTGAGATTTGATAGTTATGTAATTTAAGTTGCACTCAAATGAAGTGCTTGAAATGACCAATAATCCAATATGATAGTAATTTATAGTAACGTTTCTTGGCAGATGGAGATATTACATTATGCAGTACCTTGTCTGGGCTCATAGTAGGACACATCCAGTTGTACAAGTAGTAATGAAGGCTCTTGTCACTGATGCTGAACTTGAGGTTCTCCAGGAAACTCTGGTTATCCATCACATTGAGAGCAAAGAAGATGTCAAAACGTTTCTGTCAGTGAGGAAAAACATCATTTAATTGTTAATAATCATAGTAAACCAAATATACACTTATTAAACAGAAATACGAACGCTAATACATATAATTGTGTCTTTTAAAACTGATTATTTAACTTCACATATGCAGATTGGAGGGAATGTAAGCTAAGTTATTTGTATGTTTCCAGGTTAGGTTAAAAGTCAAACACCTTGAGCTCTTTTTAAATGAGGGGGGTTATTATTCTGACACTCACAGTTTGAGCCAGGACCAGCGTGTCCTCCATGAGGTCGACCGGGTCTGTGGCGGTCGAGGTAACGTAAAGGAGATGAGCTGATCTCAGGTCAGTGTGCACAGGATGATTCAGCACCCTGTAGGAGACACTGTAGAAACTCACCATGTCGGTCAGTGTGCCGTCATCACCCTGTGTGTGAGGAGGGATAGGAATGTGTTAATAAATAATGCAGTAGAGATTTTTTTGTAAGGAAAGCGTTTAGTAATTAAATATTTAAATCGACAAATTGTAAGGTCAGACCTGTACAACATAGGTGTCGATCACATTCTCCCTCGGCAACAGCCAGTGCTCTACTTCCCGTAAAGACAACATGGGGCTGAGGTGGAACTTGCCGAGGTTAGCCTGCAGCAGAGAGTGAACCCCCGCAGCATCTTCCTCAGTCATACGGCGCAGACCTGGGGTCTTTGTCACCTGGAAGAGAGGAGGAAAAACAAAACAGACTTTCAGTATATGGATGCTTTTCATCACAAATTCCTGATGTGAAATGTGAGAAACTGCAGGAGAAAATGGTTTCATTTGAACTAATGTATATCAGAATGAAACCTCCACCAGTTGATTACATTTACATTAAGATTTTATTTTTCATATTATAAGATTTCTGAAATGTTCTGTTTAAAAATGTAAATTATTTGAGGCATTTTCTTATTAAATATGAGCTTATTTGCATACATTTACAGCACATAAATATCAACATTAAATAAAGACAGGTTAACAAATTCTTGTTTCATTTTGTTGACATATTAAAGTCAAGGTTTTTTTGTCGTGGGAATTCTAGAAAGCTGGAATCAGAAAATACTGTCAAAAGCCATAAAGTCAAACCAAACCAAATGTTAGGAATACAAATGTATATAAATCTCACCATGAATGATATATGTATAAAAGTCTCTGTGAAAACCTTTAGAATATTGATAGGATTGAAAATGAAAGGTTTGTGTGTCACTGAAGTGGTAATTTCTGGTTTAGAGTCTGAGAAGAAAAAAATAATTTTAAGAAAAGTGTTATTTTTGGTTGTTCTTTTCCTATAATATGAAAAAATATGTCTAACAGGAAGCAAACATTGTTCAAACCTTCAAAATGTACCAGTGCATGAACTTTCTTTTGGTTTTTGCTTGTTATGTCTTGCCTTTAACATTGTGTATTACGACTCTTCGTCAATCAGTTGAAGTCATATCAGGCCAATGACAGACTTTATTGGCACTGATGTGTTTTGTCTGTAGGTGGCAGCACACACTCACATCAGGCAGACGGTTGAACTTCACAGCTCTCTGCAGGCTCAAGTTCTGCTTCAGACCGGGGTAGCTCAGCTCCATCAGCTTTCGGAGATTCAGAGGGCGATGCCAGTACCTAAAGGATAACGTTTGGTTATTTGGTTAGAACAGTAAAGGCAGAACAATGCTTAAAATCAAACTCTCAAAAACACTCACTAACAACAAACTTACGAGAGAAAAACTCAAGTAAAAGTATGAAAGTATTACCAACAAAATATACTAAGAGTACAAAAGTACCAAAAGTGAATGATTGTATTATAATTGTTCTTGTGTTCATTGCTTTAATGCTGCAGCAGGTAAAGAAGGAACCAATTGTAAATACTGTATATACTGCTATACATCATAACATATTATAATCTATCATACTAAATGTACTTAGTGACATTCCACCGTGCCATTACCATAGAAATATTTTGGGTTTCATACTAAGAAACTCTAGCTCTCTAACTCTATATGTATATCTGCTTCTTGGTGTGATTAGATCAGCTTTAAAATGTTACATCACCTTCCTCCAAATGCACTGTGCTGTTTTAAACAAGTAAACAAAGCAAATACATAAACAAAAGTCTGCCCTTTGAAATAACCAAACTTCTTGTGACCTTTGGCAGAGAATATATCCCCCATATTAAAAAAAATTCAGCGGCTTTAAAAGTGCTAATCGTGGCTTCACTTTGCATTCAGATCAATGTGAATCCACCCTGTGCAGCAGCTACTACCTGCAGGAGCTCAGGGGTGTGGGTAGCACTAAGGCAGCTGTGTAGACAGCCTGGAAGACCCCCTGCTGGTTGACTCGTCTGGTGAGCTCTCGGATCAGAACAGGAGTCATCCGCTTGAGGCGCAGCTTCTTATGAACACACAGAAATTTGACCTGCACCATCCGCTTGTCCCTGCAGGAGACCACATTATAAGCATTTGCATTGAGACACTTGCAGTTAAAATTGCTTAATTTTTTGTCAGCAAGTGCTCTGAATACTAATACTGGTCATATTTCACATTTCGTTCCATATATTCATGAGCTACTCACGTCTCATAAATGCGGACATCTGCGGGAAGAGCAGCAATGAAGCCGACTAACTTTTTATTTGAGTCTACTCGCACACCGCAGTGCCACTGAGCCAGCCAGTTAGGAGGTTGTAAAGCCCTGAGAAAGAGAATCACATTGTCTGCAACATGAATCTGTGAAAACATGCAGGGGTAGTTCAACAAACTCTGATTAGAGATCATTTCTAATAAAATAATTGAGCTTGAGATGACTCAACTGAATAAACACAGCAGCTTTCTTTAACCTCAGGGCCAAATACCTGTGCCAGTTCCTGGAATACGAATGTTAATTATTCGTATCAAACAAAATTATGTTTTGAACTAAGTGTTTCCTGAAGGCAGAGATACCGTTTATGCAGATCACAGAGGCAAAAGGCAGCAGGGGGATTAGAGTAGCCGGCTTGTAACTGATAACGGCATGTCAGGGGGTCAGACTGGAATGTGGAGTGGGGAAAAATGATGTTGTTAGACTCAAAACAAATTAAATACGTTAGTGCAACTCACAAAGTCGTGTTGCAGTTGTAATGAGAGGTTTCGGGTGTTTTAATTCAAGACCAGGCTCAAACAGAGTATGGTAATTTTCACTAGATGACCTTAATTATCAATCACGGCAACCTTTAAGTCAAAATGGTGGTGAAGATAACTAAAAAGGGGTTTAATAATCTTCTATCGTGCCTAACTTTAGTAGAAAATAAGACCAAACTTTTCAATGTTTGTCAGTTTTTGAGCCCTGACAACAGACTTGTTTTTAGATAAGATAAAACAGTCAATAACATATGTGTGAATAACAACAACAACCACAAGTGTTATTTTAGCATCGGCTACAGTCATAAATGAGCATAAAAAAATATTAGGCTGATGGGTTCTGTAATGTGGGAGATATACATACTCAAACACTCTTGCACATAAAGGCTCACACACACTGTTACACACACATTATCTCCCAACAGGCTTACTGGCTAGATACATTTTTGCTGATATACATTGAAGCTTACCATTGTAGGTAAACCGAAGAGAACTCAAATCTCATAGTGTTGTCATCCTCCTCCATGTAGTTCTCATTGAGCAGAGTGCATATCTCTTTCAACTGAAATTATATGAATTTTCCAAGATTTCAGTCTTTTTTTTTGTTTTACCTCATACTAAGAAAAGTACAGTTCCTTACATCTTAAAGACCCAAATCAGACAGATATGTGTGATCAAGTTTCTAATGTTGTAACAATAACTACTATAACAGTAAGTTACCACAGAGGGGTTGCTCAGGTCCAAAGTGTCCCAGGAGAAACCTTGAGGTAGAGAGTAGGGCTCCATACGCACACTGGCTTCACCCTCTACTATTGGACCATGAGTCTCAACACTGTCACCTGAGGACACAAGTATGAAGAAAAACAATTGAAGTAAATCATAACTTCATTCTCAATGTTGTAATTACAGTGAATGATTGATCAACTTTTGGTAATGGCTTTTTTAAAATGGATGCTCTGTAATAATGTTTAAATAGGATTAGAGAGCTTCTCCTTACTATTTTGCATAAAAGGGAATTGATCATTAATACAATTAGTATGCAACGGCTGTAATCAGAAGTAGAGTTAAGGGCATCCAGAGCAATGTTTGAGGAGTGCCTCTTGTATTTTTTTTGTCTAATGCTCCTTACCATGTCTGCTCACAGATGTTTATTCTGATGTGATTGTAAAAAAGTAAGACGGTGTGTCCAATAAATTGATAGAAGTAGCTTGGAAGGGTTTGCATTAGTCTTTTCTCTCAGTAAATGGCAAATATTATTATATTGTAAAGCTCGTTTTAGCCTTTTACAAATACAATGTGCTTGTTGAAGGAGAGTTAGAACAAAAAGAAGGTCCCACCTTTAAATCTGCATTTTAAAGCTTTTGACGGCAGCTAGTAGGCCAACATAAACACTGGAATAAAGATAAACAGCTAGCCTGACAACAAAATCGTAAAGTATAGAAAAATAAATGTTTACGGTCTAAGGGTTATGTACAAAACTATTTTTTTTGTTACCTTTCTGCTGGTTGCCATGCTACAGCTCAGAGCCATGAGTACAACACATAACCACAAAAAACCCAAATTTACATTGTTATGATGCAGTTTTGATAAACAAAGCAGACAAAACGTGTTTAACCTATTAGTGAAATTCACATGTGCTGGTAGGTGGATTTTGTTACTATTAGAAAGAGCTAGGCTAGCTGTTTCCCCATGTTGCTAATCTTTATGCTAAGCTAGCTAACTGGCTGCTGGCTATTGCCTTATATTTAGCTAACAAATGTTTAACAGGGATCAATGTTCTCTTCTTATTCTGTCACAGAAAGCAAAAAAGCATATTACTTTTGCCTTTGTTATACATTTGAGCCAATGCTTTCATTTTAGAGGACACCAACAAACAATAGCTGGAACAGTTATCTCTTCTCACCCAGTCTGGGGACAGGCTGTGTTTCCCAGAAGCGGTACGTGTGTTTTTTGGCCTGCTGCAGGGTCTTGGGCAGAGTTGGGCCCAAGGAGAAGAGGTGGAGGGCTTTCTGGATCTCCTGCTGCTTCGACTCAGGAAGAGAGTCCAGCTTTAGGGCAGAACAAGACAGGCAAGGACAAGTTACATTATAATCTTTTCAAGAAGATTGATCTTTGACCGGCACACAGCAGCAGGCGTCATCTTTATTCCTGCAGCCAAAACTGGTTGTTATGATAGACACATTTACCTGTTTCATGATACAATACAAGAATAAGCATGTTTGCGAGAGTTCAAATAGTCACAAACACAAACTAGCACACATTAAAATACACAAATGCATTCACACTTATACTAAGACACAAACCATAGAAAAAAGGTCCTTGGGTCCATCTGGTTTCCAGGCATCTTCCTTCTTTTGCTTCTCTCTGCTCCGTTTTAGACTCTCGTTCTCTGTCGGTTGCTTATCACTCAAAGACATTGTCATGCAGACTTTCTTGAATATTGAATGTAATTTCACCTACTCTCGTCTGTACAACAAGTTTCTGTGGTGAACAAGTTGAGGGTGGATCGGGTGTTTTCTGAAACATTTGTGGTTTTTCAGCTCTTATCTTGGCGAGCAGTGAGGGGAGGAGGGTGGCCACCCAACCCAACTCCCACCCAGTGGATAGATAACTGCACACAATACGTGCAATTTAATCAAATACAAATTCTCACGGCCTTCACTTGTCAGACAGCTGCTGGATAAAGTTAGCGGCAGATTAAAGCTTATAGCAGCTTGATCCAGGCAGCAGATTTAATTGGTTGAAGTCGTCTAATTGCACAGTTCCCATATTGTCTTCCAGAACTTTATATCTCTTGTGCCCATGATCAGGGCCGTCCCTCCCTACAAGCCGATCATGCAGACTGCGTGGGGCCTCATCTTGCAGAGGGGGCCTCATCTTGCGGAGTGTGCCTCAACTGCCGAAAATGCGGCGCACCGATGCATGCGGCGCTCCACTAGCACCCCCGCCCCCCCCCCGTCGACGCTCCTGAAACAGAGGGCCTCATCATATAACTTTGCGTGGGGCCTCATGTTGGCCAGGGACGGCCCTGCCCATGATAATCGGGTAATTGTAATGAACAACATGTTAACAATGACTCAGCAATATGTTATATATCAGGATGTAAACGACGATGTGTATGAAATCAAGGGCACATATTATCTTATTGTTTGAACAGTGAAGCAATTTCAATTAGAGAGATATTGTTCTTTATAAACATTTTAATGATTTACCATATTAAAAGTAGCCAGAAATGTTCTAAAAGTGTTTTTACAACATGTGCTTTTTTCTACTTAAAGTTAAGGATACGCTCATTAATTTAGCGACAGCAGAAGGTTGAAAATTAAAAGAAACCACCAGCCAAATGCTGGTAAAATATTAAAGCTGCTGCTAGAGTTGCTTCACTCACCAGCCAAAATAAACAATGGCAGAGCCTGGTAGATTTGGAATCCACCTCCAAAATGGCAGGAGGACAAAAAAGAGAATTTCAAACCCTGCAAAAGTTGAAATGGTCTACTAACTTCTTCTTTTCTGGATTTAGATTTGGATTAATTTCATTCTTACATGTTTATTTAAAGGGGACCTATTATGCTAAATCCACTTTTTCATGTCTTTTATACAAAAACATGTGTCCCCTCTGTGAAAAAAGATTTGCTCTCTTTTTGTCCTGATCCATTTATATAAAAACCTGTCTGAAAATGAGCTGATCAGATTTTGGCCACTTTATGATGTCATACGTATTTGGAGCCAAACACTTCCGAGACATCTTTTGTATATATCTGAGACCTATTATATATTGATGAAAAACAGTATAATAGGGGACCTTTAATACATAAAAAAGTGCATTAAGCGTGTGCATCTTTTGGATTGTGCGTGGTTTACTTTATACTCTGTCCCAAGATGTGCTTACCGAAATCCCTGTAGAGTCATTTGCATTCTGCTTAGGGGGGAGATGTCTCAAAGGGCTTTATAATCTCTAAAGCATCCTCATGAGTACTGAGCCCTTTGCAACACATCTCGATAACCAGGGCTGCACATAACTGGTGCGCCAAAAAAAGAGCACCGGGTCATTTGAAAAAGGCGCATTGAGAGAGAGAGAGAGAGAGAGAGAGAGAGAGAGAGAGAGAGAGAGAGAGATAGAGAGAGAGAGAGATAGAGAGAGAGAGCTGACTTCTCTCTCGCTCTCTCCTCTCTCTCTCTCTCGCTCTCTCGCTCTCTCTTCTCTCTCTCTTCTCTCCTCTCTCTCCTTCTCTCTCTCTCTCTCTCTCTCTCTATTCTCTCTATTCTCTCTCTCCTCTTCTCTCCTCTCCTCGCCCTCTCTCCTCTCCTCTACTCTCCTCTCTTCTCTTTCCCATCTATTTTCGTCTCTCCTCTTCTCTTCTCTTCCCTTCCCCTTTCTTTATAGATGTTCGCCTAGGGCGCCAGATCTGTGGAGGCGCTGCGCTGGCAGCTCTGGGAGGGAAAAAAACAATTTTGACCGTTGGGGCTCATCCTAATTTTCGGCCTTGATGTAACAATATTCATAATTAAGTAAATGTAACACCCTTTTCACCCCGGTTACACGTTTCATTTTCCCTGTACGATGGGCGCTGTAAGTGATGAAAATGGGGGATGTTGGCTTATCTGGCACCCGCAGCTCACAGTCAAAGTGCGAGTGAGCGTGGGAGAGAGGGATGGTGCACCGGTTCCGGCGCTGTTGTTATTAGCATCTGGTGCTAGCTGCTCTAACGGATATAAGAAGAAGATGTTTCTACAATAATGTGGAGGGAGAGTCCTCTCCAGTCAGACTATCTCAGTGGGTCTCAAACGTTTTGATCACAATTTATGTAAACACATATTTCCAAGGCACTCCTTTATAATTATTGGGATAAACAGGTTTGAAATCATTCCAATGTATACTATAAAACAGTAAACCAAAAAAATCCTTTAAAACTGGAAAGATATAAAAAAAATGCATAAATAAATAAATGTTAAGGTAAAATAAGATATGAATGAACAACACAAATAAAACAAGTTACATTCATTTGTTATTGGCTATGGTAGGTTATTGGTTATGTTCACATACTTATTTGATTACATCCACTTGTCTAAGATGACAACAGAGACTTTCAACCCAAAACCAGTAGCTAATCACAGACTCAACCAGAGAGAAAGTAGTAGGCCTATAAGCTACCATGTCTGACAGAGAGGAAGACAGTGAGGAGAACAGTCAGAAGGGTAGTGATGACAGCTTGTAGGATTACTGGTCGTGCTAATGTTGTCTTGTGTTCACCTCTGCATGTGTGTTCTGTGTTCACCTCTGCATGTGTGTTCTGTGTTCACCTCTGCATGTGTGTTCTGTGTTCACCTCTGCATGTGTGTTCTGTGTTCACCTCTGCATGTGTGTTCTGTGTTCACCTCTGCATGTGTGTTCAGTGTTCACCTCTGCATGTGTGTTCTGTGTTCACCTCTGCATGTGTGTTCTGTGTTCACCTCTGCATGTGTGTTCTGTGTTCACCTCTGCATGTGTGTTCTGTGTTCACCTCTGCATGTGTGTTTAGTGCCGTGTGTCTGGCAAATAAAGTCAAGACCCCCTCAAAAGTTATGGTTTATTTCATTTTAAGGATGAGCACCAAGCAACATCTCCAGGTGCTCCTTTGAGAACCAGGGCAAACAAGTTATGTGCACCCCTGTCTATAACCACTTGTAGTGATTATACATGATTGAGTGTTTTTAACTAAAATATACACAGAAAATAGATTTTTCAGATACTTGTCTCTACTTCACAATCCTACTAACACCTGTCACCACTCAGAGTGAAGGAGTGGACCGTGTGCAGTCGGGGAAAGTTCACAAACAAGTTCTGATTCAACAACAAAGAGGTGCATGACAGGGAAGAAGAGCATGATTCTCTTGAGGTGTTGCAACATGATGCAACATACTGCAAGTCTTATTGATTATTCGTGGTCAGTGCACTTTTTTGTCCTGAGGAGAAGCACCAATTCTTGAGACGCAGGCAGGACATGACACAAAGGACTCAGCCGCACACCCAGGAGGGAGGGAGAGGATGAAGGTTTGATGAAAGCATTTGGTTTTGTTGTCTCTGTGGCCATTAGCTGTTTTTTCATATACATTTCATCTTCTATCTGTGCTAGTGCTCTCTTGAGTCATTATCAGTCAGTTATTTATCTTCAATATAATATAATGCAAAAAATGAATTGTCGACTTGGAAGTCGACAATTCATTTTTCAGTCATCAAAACTTCATTATTGTTCAAACTCGTCACCCATGTTTTGCACAAAATGGCGTGGACGTAGCAGTGAATTTGTTGAGGTAAAGTGAAACAAGTGAAAAAAAGAAGGCAGTAGAGTAATACATACGGGGGGACATGAACACATCGTTTGAATGTTTAAGATATTGAGAGGTCACCTTTATAAAACGGTTCCCCCAAATGGCTGGCTGGGTATGTGTGTGTGTGTGTGTGTGTGTGTGTGTGTGTGTGTGTGTGTGTGTGTGTGTGTGTGTGTGTGTGTGTGTGTGTGTGCAAGAACAATCAGACGACACAGACACAGTCAGAACCATTATTAATCTGTAAATAGATCTGTATTGCTGTGATCTCTCTGCCGAACAAGATCCTCCTCGCTTTTTCTTCTGCCCCTTCTCTCCCGTCTGTCTCTGTAACTCTGTTGTTTGAGAGATCGGATGAATGAACAACAATCTCTGCATCAATCTTTCTCTCTGCTGTCTTCAGTCTCTCAGATTTCTCTTTCAGCTTCTTGTTTCCTCCTTGTTACCTACGTATTTCCTTCATCTCAGTTCTTCTTGTCAGTCGTGACTGTGAAATAAGTCACGATCTCCACATGTTTTAGTGAATACTTTTAATCAGTGGATAAGAATGATTGGGCTTTTGTGACGGCTAGGCAAACCAGTATGAACCCAAAACCACGACTCGACAAACAAAGTACAAAAGAAAGTCTTTACTGAAAAAATTGCACTACAGTATGTGCACAACAGAAAATCACTCCGTAGAGGTAACAGGTAGATAACAAAAAAACCCACTTAAGAGGAAAAGGTAACCAAAGTAGTTCCAAAAAATGCAAAGGACAAAGTAAATTCCAAACTCGGCTGCTAGCTCTTAGCAAATAAGATACCCTGAGGACAAGACATGGACTTGATGCTGGCTGTCTGGCACATGGGACAAAACGAACTGGCAACAAGACAAGGGAGACAGGGGGTGTTTCTCAATCGCGAGTACGCTTGCTTTGTAGCACATGTCTTCCGAGCGTCTTGCTTCAGAAGCAAGGCAAGAATACTTCCTGGCATTCTGAAAACAAAGAGTGGAACAGGCTAGCAAGTGTGCAGGTGTGCGTCATATGAGAGGCCCCGCCTTACATTTTCCGCCACAGATTTGGGGAAATTGGTCCGTGCGCAAAGCATTGTGGGGATTTTAAGACCGCGGAGTCTACACATGTGCAGCCTCGAAATGTCTCCAAACGAAGTACGCCGGACTCGGTAGAATTCCAAGTATGCTGGACATTGGAACAGTCCTTCGGCGGCACTCGATGACGTAGTATGCTTGAAATAGTGGCTCTGGAGCAGCTTTACTCGACATTGAGAAACACCCAGGATCTATAGGCAGGCTCAGGGGGCACAGGTGCAGACAATTAGGGCGG